CGTCAACTTCCAAACATCTGAAAACATTCACTTCTTCCATACTCCTCCTCCCCAATTTGATATCCAATTTTTCCTTATCTAAATCATTTGATACTCTCATCACCTTACTCTTTTCTATGTTCACTTTCAACTTTCTACCTTTACACGCACTCCCAAATTCGTCCACTAACCTTTGCAATTTTTCTTTAGAATCTCCCATAAGCACAGTATCATCAGCAAAAAGTAACTGCCACTTCCCATTTTGTATTTGATTCCCCGCAATTTAATTCCACCCCTCTCCCGAACACCCTAGCGTTTACTTCTCTTACAACCCCATCTATAAATATATTAACCCTTAAACTGTCCAAGCAGATCTACGTTCACATGCGTAGTGCTCCATATGTAGATTTTTTATTATTTTATTATCACACTGGCTGATTCCCACCAAGGCAGGGTGGCCCGAAAAAGAAAAACTTTCACCATCATTCACTCCATCACTGTCTTGCCAGAAGGGTGCTTTACACTACAGTTTTTAAACTGCAACATTAACACCCCTCCTTCAGAGTGCAGGCACTGTACTTCCCATCTCCAGGACTCAAGTCTGGCCTGCCGGTTTCCCTGAACCCCTTCATAAATGTTACTTTGCTCACACTCCAACAGCACGTCAAGTATTAAAAACAATTTGTCTCCATTCACTCCTATCAAACACGCTCACACATGCCTGCTGGAAGTCCAAGCCCCTCGCACACAAAACCTCCTTTACCCCCTCCCTCCAACCTTTCCTAGGCCGACCCCTACCCCGCCTTCCTTCCACTACAGACTGATACACTCTTGAAGTTATTCTGTTTCGCTCCATTCTCTCCACATGTCCGAACCACCTCAACAACCCTTCCTCAGCCCTCTGGACAACAGTTTTGGTAATCCCGCATCTCCTCCTAACTTCCAAACTACGAATTCTCTGCATTATATTCACACCACACATTGCTCTCAGACATGACATCTCCACTGCCTCCAGCCTTCTCCTCGCTGCAACATTCATCACCCATGCTTCACACCCACATAAGAGCGTTGGTAAAACTATACTCTCATACATTCCCCTCTTTGCCTCCAAGGACAAAGTTCTTTGTCTCCACAGACTCCTAAGTGCACCACTCACGTTTTTTTTACAGATTTTCAAATATAACAAAAAAAAAAAAGTAGATCAAAGTTTTTTTTACACGTTTTCAAATGTAAAACAAAAAAAAAAGATCTACTTTTTTTACATACTTTCAAATGTTGAAAAAACATATACATATATACGTTTGGACCGTTTACTGGTTAAACAACCATGGTGACATTACACATCCTTGTCTAAGACCTACTTTCACCGGGAAGTAGTCCCCCTCTCTTCTACACACCATAACCTGAGCCTCACTATCCTCATAAAAACTCTTTACAGCATTTAGTAACTCACCACCTATTCCATATACAGTGGACCCCCACTTAACGATCACATCCCAATGCGACCAATTATGTAAGTGTATTTATGTAAGTGCGTTTGTACGTGTATGTTTGGGGGTCTGAAATGGACTAATCTACTTCACAATATTCCTTATGGGAACAAATTCGGTCAGTACTGGCACCTGAAAATACTTCTGGAATGAAAAAATATCGTTAACCGGGGGTCCACTGTACTTGCAACATCTGTCACATTGCTTCCCTGTCCACTCTATCATATGCCTTTTCTAAATCCATAAATGCAATAAAAACTTCCCTATCTTTATCTAAATACTGTTCACATATATGCTTCAATGTAAACACTTGATCTACACATCCCCTACCCACTCTAAAACCTCCTTGCTCATCCGCAATTCTACATTCTGTCTTACCTCTAATTCTTTCAATAATAACCCTACCCTACACTTTTCCTGGTATACTCAGTAAACTTATCCCTCTATAATTTTTACAATCTCTTTTGTCCCCCTTCCCTTTATATAAAGGGACTACACACGCTCTCTGCCAATCCCTAGGTACCTTCCCCTCTTTCATACATTTATTAAACAAAAATACCAACCACTCCAACACTATATCGTCCCCTGCTTTTAACATTTCTGTCATGATCCCGTCCGTTCCAGCTGTTTTACCCCCTTTCATTCTACGTAATGCCTCACGCACCTCCCCCAAACTCACATCCTGCTCTTCTTCACTCCTAAAAGATGGTATACCTCCCTGGCCAGTGCATGAAATTACTGCCTCCCTTTCTTCGTCGATACTTAAAAGTTCCTCAAAATATTCTCGCCATCTACCCAAAACTTCCATCTCCCCATCTACTAACTCCCCTACTCTGTTTTTAACTGACAAATCCATACGTTCCCTAGGCTTTCTTAACTTGTTTAACTCACTCCAAATTTTTTTCTTATTTTCATTAAAATTTCTTAACAGTACCTCTCCCACTCTATTATCCGCTCTCCTTTTGCACTCTCTCACCACTCTCTTCACCTTTCTTTTACTCTCCATATACTCTACTCTTCTTATAACACTTCTGTTTTGTAAAAACCTCTCATAAGCTACCTTCTTCTCTTTTATCACACCCTTTACTTCATCATTCCACCAATCACTCCTCTTTCCTCCTGCACCCACCCTCCTATAACCACAAACTTCTGCCCCCACATTTTAATACTGCATTTTTAAAACTATTCCAACCCTCTTCAATGCTCCCACTACTCATACCTGCACCAGCCCACCTTTCTGCCAATAGTTGCTTATATTTCACCCGAACTTCCTCCTCCCTTAGTTTATACACTTTCACCTCCCTCTTACTTGTTGTTGCCAATTTCCTCTTATCCCATCTACATCTTACTCCAACTGTAGCTACAACTAGATAATTATCCGATATATCAGTTGCCCCTCTATAAACATGTACATCCTGGAGCCTACCCATCAACCTTTTATCCACCAATACATAATCTACCAAACTACTTTCATTACGTGCTACATTATACCTTGCATATTTATTTATCTTTTTCATAAAATATGTATTAATTATTACCAAACCTCTTTCTACACATAGCTCAATTAAAGACTCCCCATTTTCATTTACCCCTGGCACCCCAAATTTACCTACTACAGTACTCCCTCCACAACATTTTTACCCACTTTAGCATTAAAATCCCCAACCACACGTACTCTCACACTTGGTTCAAAACTCCCCACGCATTCACTCAACATTTCCCAAAATCTCTCTCTCTCTCTATATATACTTCTCTCTTCTCCAGGTGCATATATGCTTACTATAACCCACTTCTCACATCCAACCTTTATTTTACTCCACATAATCCTTGAATTAATACATTTATAGTCCCTCTTTTCCTGCCATAGCTTATCCTTCAACATTATTGCTACTCCTTCTTTAGCTCTAACTCTATTAGAAACCCCTGACCTAATCCCATTTATTCCTCTCCACTGAAACTCACCCACCCCCTTCAGCTTTGTTTCACTTAAAGCCAGAACATCCAGCTTCTTGTCATTCATAACATCCACAATCATCTCTTTCTTATCATTCGCACAACATCCACGCACATTCAGACCTCCCACTTTGACAATTTTCTTATTATTCTTTTTAGTAATTTTTACAGGTAAAGGGGTTACTAGCCCATTGTTCCCGGCATTTTAGTTGACTTTTACAACACGCATGACTTACGGAGGAGATTCTTATTCCACTTCCCCATGGATATAAGAGGAAAAGTACTAAGAACAAAAACTAAGATAAAATCAAAGAAAACTCAGATGAGTATGTATAAATAAACGTGTACATGTATGTTTAGTGTGACCTAAGTGTAAGTAGAAGTAGCAAGATGTGCCTTTAACCTTGCATATTTATGAGACAGACAAAAGACACCAGCAATCCTACCATCATGTAAAACAATTACAGGCTTTCGTTTTACACTCGCTTGGCAGGACAGTAGTACCTCCCTGGGTGGTTGCTGTCTACCAACCTACTACTATATTATTATTATTTCTTCTTCAACATGCTGGCCGTCTCCCACCAAGGCAGGGTGACCCAAAAAAGAAACACTTTCACCACCATTCGCACATAATTACTATCTTTGCAAAGGTGAGCAGATACAACAGTTCAGATGTCACTCCAAACAGCCAATATCCCAAACCAGTCCTTTAGAGTGTAGGCATTGTACTTTTCACCTCCAGGACTCAAGTTCGGTTAACCAGTTTCCCTGAATCCTTTCACAAATTATTACCCTGTTCACACTACAATAGCTTGTCAAGTCCCAAAAACCATTCATCTCCACTCTCTCCTATCTAACATGCTTACACATGCCTGCTGTACCCCCCCTCCCTCCCTCCATTCTTTCCTAGGACAACCCCTACCCCTTCCTTCCTTCCTTCCACTACAGATACATACACCCTCCAAGTCCTTCTATTTTGCTCCATCCTCTTCAAATGACCAAACCTCCTCAATAACCCCACCTCAGCCCTCTGAATAATACTTTTAGTAACTCCAAACTTCCTAATTTCCACAATACGAATTCTTCATAATATTTAAGCCACATATCGACTTTAGACACAACATCTCCACTGCCTCCAGTCTCCCTCTCACTGCAACATTCACAACCCATGCTTCACACTATTTATCTATCTAGACTTAAGTAGTCTAGGTATTAGGTTAAGTCTTCCTGAAATGCCTTGGCATGATAGTGGCTTTCTTGGTACCAATGAAATTTTGAAATGTAAGCACACATTGTAACCTTTGCAAAGAAATAAACTTTTGTTTTGTTTTGTTTGTTATAAGAGTGTTGGTACCACTCATACATTCCCTTCTTTGCCTCCATGGATTGGGGAATGCTAAACCCATGGGGGGATGGGGGGGAGGTCATACAGCACTTGAGGGGAATGAGAGGCATTCAGGTTTGAACCAAGAAAGAACAGATCCTATTCTTTGGATTAAAAGCCTGTCACTGGCTTCAAAGAACCTTTGTAAAAGGGGATCTTTGTAATATTATACAAGCACATTAGGTTATACTCACCAGCATCACTGGAGGTTTGCCACAACCTAAAGACACCACAACTGTAGGGGTGAAAACTTCTGATTCACGACCCTTGGCACACACTGCCATATTCCATTCTTCAATTTCGGTGAGTGTGTCCAAGACTGGGTTGTTTCCCACCAAGCCACCATCAAGGAACTTCTCGCTGGCACTAAAGAAGACAAGTTACTAATAGACAGTAAAACAATCCTGTAATAAAATACAATTTTGCATCACAATGAATTACAATCAGAATAAAAAATAAATTAGAATTGAAACATGGCTCAAATAATGATTTACGTTTCAGACAAATGAAGAATATTTATTTATATCATGTTTCATATTTCAAAATGTTTATGGTCAGCAAGCAGAATTAGAATAAGAAGCCACTAATAATGACAGGCAAATCAATAACATTTTACTGATACTGTACTAAAGGAGTAAGTAGAAAAGAAAACTGATAATTTTATTATTAAGACTATCACAAATTCTCCATTCCGATGGTAATATTTATGATACAGTGAACCCTCAATTTGATATACTACTTATGAAGGGGTGAAGGGGTGACCATTAAATCCAAATTATAAGAATATTTTTCATGATCATGGTATTACTGTAATAGCAAATTTTTGGAGTTAATGAATTAAGTCCATTAAATCCAAAAATAAATTTACCCAGCAGACTGCAACAACAAGAGATAATTCTGGATTTAAACAACTTTGCCTATTAAATCTAGACCTCCCCCCCCCCCAAAAAAAAAAGAAAATCTGATTTAATGGACTAAATATGATAAATGAATTTATTCAGGAAAAAATGAGAATAATGGACAATTTTGGATTTAGCAGACTTTGCCCACTGTTTCCAAAAGATATCTGGCCACAGATTCTGCCCGTTAAATCCAAAATCTGTTAAACAGAAGTCTATTAAATTGAGGGCTTACTGTACTGTATACAGTACAAAGTAACTATTTACCCTTTTAGTGTGTACTGTTACTTAATTTAATTTTTTTATATATGTAAGGCAATGACATTCCAATTTTAGAATTTCACCTCAATTTTTAGATCAGCATATGGGAGCAATTATCAAGATGGTGATTAAAATTATACCAGAAAATACAAAACAATGTTCAACTAAAATGCATAAATTTTCATGTTATATAACTCTGTATAATCTTGCTTTGGGAGCTCTAAATGTAAGTTTAATGTACCATCTAATATTTACTCAGGAATATTTTCATTAAGCAGAGTAACATTGTACAAAGTTTTTACATGGTGGTTTTCCTTGTGCTATTCAGAAAATTCAAATGCCACATTATGTTTAATCTTATGATGAATGAATACTCTCCCTGTACTGTATATTTTAATCAAGAGTAAGGAACAAAATTATTTAACAGTTGCATATTAATAACTTATTAGTGAACAGTACAATATAAAAAAGCACAGCATGTATTATTAATATTTCAGGCATCTTTGGTGTAACTCATGCCAGAGTTCAGGCCACAATTTATGGTCTCATGCAGAATTTTTATTAGAGTGAAACATTATTCCTCAAGCTTCGCAGACTGTACATTACACTGCAAGTAACTTTAAGGTAAACCCAACTTGAAGCTGCTAGCTCATAGTTACACTTTAGAAGATGTATTCAATGCTCTTTTACTGCTTTCATCTTTCTTCATTGTTCTTCCACATCTAACAAAAAGTAAGGTCACCCAAAATTACTCGCCTTTCAGTACTACTACTACTACTACTACTACTTATCAAATACTTGTTTTACACTGTTCAGCTAATCTGCATTAAAACATTTTGAGATTCTGACAGTACCCTCATGTTGGTGTAAATAATTCTGGTGCCATAAAAAAAAAAAAAAATCTGAACCATTCAAATTGGCAACCTTCAAAAATAGTTTAGTCCCCACACTGAATACCATATACAGTTACATAAATTATGAGAACAGTAACAATGAAGACATTTAAAACCACATTACAGTTTGCATGACACATTAACCCTTTCATCACGTAAATCGTATTTTTGAGGAGACTGAAAAAATATTTTGAGACAGCCAATTTTTTTTTTTTTCCTAGAACCTGCTCACTCCAGAGAGAGAGTAAGGACTCACTAAATCTTTCCACCTGGCAGCCACAGGGTATAATGTTCCTATTGGCTTTAACACATGTGCCACCTGGATGACCAATTATGCCCAATAAAGTAGGGCCCTGCTTTGCGCCATTTTGCCTTACGGCATTCCACTAATTCAGATATTTCAAATTATGACCAAAACTCTCTATACAGCTCCCCCCACCTGACTTTCTAATATGGCCACCATGCCTCACCCTGTTTCCTTACATTTTCCGTGAGCGTGAGAACCGCGTCTCTCCAAAATTTCAAGTGTTTTAAAGTTATTTCATGTTTTATACATACACCTACCATCTGACTTATGACCTGCTCGACACACGACCACTTGACTTATGACCATGTTTTGTATGCCAAATTTCTGGGGAATAAACAACTGTTTGTGTTGTATAAAGTGTTTATCCTAAACCTTACAGTATAAAATACAGTACTAACAGCATAAAAATTAAAGTAAAAAATGAAATACGTACCAAAATAAAACAAAATAAAATCATTGCAAAAATGTGATGTTGATATTCAGTAGCAAGGTTTGACTTATGTCCATTTTGACTTACGACCGGTTGGTAGGAACCAAGCTTGGTTGTAAGTCGGATGGTACCTGTACGTACTCTGAAAAATATACTTATGTGTACCTGTACTTAAATAAACTTGCACACTGTGCTGGCATGCAGGTACACATTAAAATCACTAAGTGTGTCTTATTAGTCTTGAGGACACCATATTAATAATGATAATAATAACAATACACAATAATAATCACTCCGAGGTGCATTAAATGTCGTATATTATGTTAATATAAACATTTTCATTAATCCATCTGATAGTTTTTCAAAATTATATGATAACACACTGCGTAACATATAAACATGATAAATACACCCCACAGTAGAATAAATTAACAAATATGAGATGTTACATGTATGAACCAAAACCAGACGCATTTGTCTGCTTGTTTACATTCTCCGGGTCTCTCTCCTCTCTCATTTACTCGTTCTCTCTCTCTCTCGTTTATTTGTTTTACCTCATTTACTCGCCTCTCATCCTACATTAAGACTACAAATATTTTAAGGTAAGTAATGAGTGTCCTGTATATGCATTTTATCCCTCTATTGAGCTTTAAATGTTGTAGTTGTAGTATATTACGTGAAGGTGGGGTTAGGTGGGCTGGCCTGGCTGTCTACCATACCTCCCACACCTGACTTCCTACAAATAAATACTACTCACCTCTCGCCCTACATTAAGACTACAAATATTTTAACCCCTTGACTGTCGCAACCCCAAATCCTGAGGTGTCTGCTGGTGTCGCGCAAAAAAAAAAAACAGCGATTACGCCCACTTTGAGCCCTATTTTCAGCTAATTCCATTGTTCCAGTCAACCAAACTCATAGCTATTTCTTTAGAACTCCATTTTTTTCTATCGATTGAGTACAAGAAACTGCCCATTTACCGATTTCAACTACCCAATAACCTGGTCAGAAATTTGCAATTTGGCCAATTTCACGAAAATTAAAAAATATGACAATTTCAAAATAGGGTCCAGAATGAACAATGCAGACATTCCTGGCTCTAAAATAATATTTTGTTTGTTCATCAGTCACATCTCCAGGCCCCTTTGATATTACTCTTGCTTTCTGTTTTGAATTTTTAATCAAACAAAAAATAGAAGATTTACTGTTATGCAGATTAATGCAATGTTGTAATAATCGTATGAATAACATCAACCCATTCATGACTGCATATTAGAATGGCTACTTGGACATTTATTGGAAAATGACATCATTTGTTTACTTTTGAACATCGGCAAAAATCAAACATTTCCCCTACTTTGAGCTCCATTTCAAGGTTCTTTTCATAGTAAAAGCAATCTATAATATGTTTTCCATCCTATCAAATGAGACCAAGAAAACAAGAATACAGTGGACCCCCGGTTCTCTCTTGGAGGGATATCCTCAAGACCTTATTTATATCCCCTTTATTGATACCCATCTTCCACTTATACACTTCGATCATGTCTCTCCTCATTCTTCGTCTAACAAGTGAATGTAATTTAAGGGTCTTCAATCTTTCTTGATAAGGAAGATTTCTAATGCTATGTATTAATTTAGTCATTCCACGCTGAATGTTTTCTAATGAATTTATGTCCATTCTGTAATATGGAGACCAGAACTGAGCTGCGTAATCTAGGCGAGGCCTTACTAATGATGTATACAGCTGTAATATAACCTCTGAACTTCTGTTGCTTACACTTCTTGATATATATCCCAGTACTCTGTTTGCCTTATTACGTACGCTTAGGCATTGCTGTCTTGGTTTAAGGTTACTGCTTATCATAACCCCCAAGTCCATTTTGCAATCTGTATGGCTAAGTTCTACATTATTTAACTTATAAGTGCTAGGGTTATGGACACTCCTGAGCTTCAGAACCTTGCATTTATCTAAATTGAACTGCATCTGCCACTTTTCTGACCAGGTACTGAGTTTGTCTAGATCCTCCTGAAGTTCCTTGCTATCTACATTTGAATCAATTATCCTACCTATCTTTGTGTCATTGGCGAATTTGCTCATATTGCTTGTAACTCCCTCATCAAGATCATTGATATATATTATAAACAACAACAGGACCAAGACATATCCCTGTGGAATGCCACTTGTTACAGATCCCTGACTTGGACCATTTACAAAGTCACACTAATGAAAAGGAGAGAAGGAGGGGTTTATATAGAGATTCTGTCTCTTATTCTCTTGCTTTATGGCTGGCCAAAACCCTCACTCCCTTTCTTGGTACTTTTTCTCCTGCCCACCTCCGTCACTCTCAAGACTTCATTGAATGGGTTCGCTCTCTCCCGACCTGTAAGATGCTTAGTCTTGACGTTGAGTCCCTCTTGATGATGTCCTTGATTTTCTTAAAGAGAAGGCCAATGAAGGGTTTCTTCATCTCCCTATACCTACTGATGTCTTTCTTGATCTTATCTGCCTCTGTGTGGACTTTAATTCCTTTTCATTCCAAGGGAAATATTATTCTCAAACCTTCGGTGTCAGTATGGGTTCTCCTCTTTCTCCTGTCCTTGCTAATCTTTACATGGAATACTTCAAGACTGTTCTTCCTACTACTGACGTGCACCCTTCATTCTGGCTCTGCTATGTAGATGACATCTTTGCTCTTTGGCCTTATGACTCTAGTCTCCTCCATTCATTTCTTGATGCTCTTAATTTTGCCCCTTCCATTAAGTTTAAAGCTAAATGGGAATCTAATTCCTTGCTTCCTTTCCTTGATGTCCATGTCCACCGCTCAGATATTGGTTTTGCCTTTTCCATTTACCGAAAGCCTATGCACAGTGGCATGTACATTCACCACTTTTCTTATGATGCTTCCTCTGTCAAGAAAAGTGTTCATATCACCCTCTTCCTCCGTGCTCTCTGCATTTGTGATCCTCAGTTCCTTCAATCAGAAATTTCCACTCTTCATAATTCATTTTCCTGTCTTGGCTACCCTTCCATTTCATAGACTCTGCCTTCTCATGTGCTAAATGTAATTTCTTCTCTCCCAAATTCTCTACTCCTGGGAATTCTTCTGTCCTCTGCCTTCCCTACATTTCCGGTCTTTCTAATCTCAACAATTCTCTCCGTTCCTTAGACATCAAACTTACTTTCCGCCAGACTAACACTCTTCGCACTAATCTTGTTCATACCTCTCCTCCCTCTACAGATGCTCCTGGTGTCTACTCTATTTCTTGTTCCTCCTGTCCTCTTCAATACTTTGGAGAAACTGGCCGATCTCTTTCTGACAGACTTAGGGAGCATAAAAGTAGTGTTTGGCTTGCCGACACTAACAATGCTCTATTCTGTCACATCACATCAGAGATCACAGTCATCCTACTGACTGGTCTTCTGCTAAAACTGTCTTCCCTACTTCCAACTACAACAGTTGCTGTCTGGTTGAATCCTCCCTAATACACAACTTTCCTTGTATGAATCTTAGTCCTGGCTTCATCTCTGTAGATGCCTTTCTTTCCCACTACAGTGAACCGCCGACTTATGAAGGCCTCATCTTACAATAAAATCGACTTATGAAGCGTTTCAGCGTAAAAAAATTCCCCGACCTACAAAGAAAAACTCGACTTACATCATTCGTCCTGAACAAGGTCCATTTGGCCAGAGTGCCTCAGCTCAGCAAGTGGCATTGTTTACAAGCCAGGGTGGACAGTTGCATGCATACATTTGATAAATTTTGTATTATTCCATTGTTTTTAGTGCTTGTAACTGCTAAATAAGTCACCATGGGCCCAAAGAAAGCTTCTAGTGCCAATCCTGTGGTAAAAAGGGTGAGAAATACTATCAAAATATGTAATCACTCTAAGGAGCATTAAATATCGTATAAAACGTTAATATAGACATTCTGCTTAATCCGTCTAAATATACCCCACAGTAGAATAAATTAACATAAATATGAGATGTGGTAGCCAGGCAACTTGTAGGACTTGTGGTAGCCAGGTGACTTGTAGGACTTGTGGTAGCCAGATGACTTGTAGGACTTGTGGTAGCCAGGAGACTTGTAGGACGGGTGGACTGGCACTTGTATGATGTGAGCCAGGCAACTTGTAGGACTTGTGGTAGCCAGATGACTTGTAGGACTTGTGGTAGCCAGGAGACTTGTAGGACTGGTGGTAGCTAGGCAACTTGTATGACTGGTGGTAGCCAGGCAACTTGTAGGACTTGTGTAGCGATGACTTGTGGGTGGTAGCCAGGAGACTTGTAGGACTGGTGGTAGCTAGGCAACTTGTAGGACTGGTGGTAGCCAGGCAACTTGTAGGACTTGTGGTAGCCAGGAGACTTGTAGGACTGGTGGTAGCTAGGCAACTTGTAGGACTGGTGGTAGCCAGGCAACTTGTAGGACTTGTGGTAGCCAGGCAACTTGTAGG